TGTACAAAGCTTTTTTAAAATATAAAACCACTACATTTTAAATATTATTTTTGTTCCTCTCCTTATCAGCTTTTTGTTCCTTCTCCAAATCATTATATTCAAGGTAATGAAGAGAAAGAAGTGAAGAGTAATGGTTTTAATTAAGTATAAGCTTAACTAAACCAGTGAAACACTGCTGCATTCAGATGGGAGATTTGTATTAAAGCCATTGTAAATCTCTGGAGTATCAGAAACAGGGAGTCATCCCAGCACCTTGCTGAGAGCACCCACGTTGGAGTGGAGTGAGAGGGGAGGATGGGGGCAGCACTCCTGCCCTCCTGCTGGGCTGTTTGGCAGAGGAAATGGAGAGGTCAGAGCTTGAATTTTGCTCACCATTTCCTTCATTGTGGAGCTTCTAGCCTAGTCCCTAGGCACATTCTTCATTACAGCCCCGTTTGTTGGAGTGCCCTCATGTTACACCAGTAAGACAAATAAAGGGGCAACCAATGTCAGCACCAGCACATTAATTTTTACAGGCCACAGCAGCAGTGACAGAGCAATGCAGGGTTTTTACATCTGCAGCCAGCAGAATCTAAAAGGACACCTCTGTTTCCCTTGCTGACTACAGCCATTGTGAGCCCTGGGGCAGCAGGAGCCACCCTGGGAGGGGGCCTGTGGTGAGCAGGGGTTACACAAACAGTTCCATAACCTGCTGAGGAGGGCAGGGAGGGGAACACCAACTTCTGCTCCACATCACACATCTGCCTAATTTTATTCTTGCTCTGCACATACAGCAGCATAGCTGCTCTGGAAATCCAGACCTGGCCTCCTGCCTGTCATTCAAGCAGTTTAATTTGTATTCAAGATGGGAAAGTAAACAACATATCTGTGAGATAACATCAATGTCCTGTCATTTACTGACTGCATCTCCTCCACTCTGAGTTCTTACTCCTGTTCTTGTATATACCACTTCTATGTATGCACCACATACTTTCTGTCACTATAAAATGGTCTGTGAAGTTTGATTAGAACAATTCTTATTTGTAAGAGGAAAAGCAGGGAACTCCAAAAAAATCTACTGTGATGTGACTGACTCCTCTTCCAAGAAGAAAGCAGAGACTGGGAAAAGCAACAGCAAGAGAAACAGCAACAGCAAGAGAAAAGAAGAGACAAACACAAAGCTTCTACAGAAGTAGGAACAGCAGTGGGAAACTTTGGGGAAATTTTAGTTTTTCCTTTGTCCTTTTGTGAGAGGTATTTGTCCCTAAAATCCATGCTATATTTACTATGACATCTACTGAAAAATCAAGAACACAAAACGTAATGCTGCATACAATGCAAGAATGGCCACAGAACACACCTAAACAATGCTCTCACAAAACACCAGAGTGCACTACTGCATAGCTGTCATCAACTCAGAGTATGCTGCTTTAAACTTCAACCAGTTGGTCTTGAAAAGCTCCACAGATGGAGATTCCAGAGCAGCTCTGAGGAATCCATTCCTGAATTTATCCTCCTTATGTTGTCCCTTTCACTTAATCAGAACCTCACCTCTATGAATTTTTGACTGCCATCTCTTCTCCTAATCAAACACATCAGCGAAGAGCCTGGCTCTGTATTCTCTGGAGCTTTCTCATATGGATTGAGGGTTGGCTATCCTCCCCAAGTCTTCAGGCTGAACAAAACCCATTCCCTTGGCATTTTCTCACAGGAGGGTGCTCCAGTCCTGACCATCTTGACAGTTCTCCATTAGACTCACTCCAGCCTTTTTTGGATCTTAACTGTGTCAAATACACATCCCCTTGCATACACAGGTTCTCCAAATGCTTGATTTTGCTAATTTTTCTGGAGGCTTCCATTATCAAAGTAGGAAGTACATGGGATGCTTCCCTGGAAACCTAAACATGAGGATTCTGAGGCAGGTGGATACCTCACACTGCACTGAATTAACAGCAGAAATAGCAGGCCTGGGTATCAATGGTGTCCCCACCTGCAGGAATCCAGACAAACTTTTTTGCCTGCTGCTCCTCTGTCAGGAAAATAAAGGCAAATTCCACCTCCACTTGGGTGGATTTCCTGAGATACTTACATATACAGGACTAACTAGCTCACCTAAAAGGAATGAAATAGAAGTTTTATTCTTTCATGAGGTACCCAAAGATTGCACTAAACTCACCACAAACACTTTTCAGTTCATCCTTTCATTAATGAATAGAACTTTCATACTCAGAAGGAAACTGAAACACCATGACTGTACGTTTCTGGTGCTAAACACAATTACATGGTAATGTAGACAATACAGTCACAGTGCTGTTACACTGAAGTGAGGTATTTCAGTGAACATCCAATTTTTAAACATTTTGAAACAAGATCATTATATTTAAATGACTTGCTGAGGGTTGCATAGTGTTGCCTAATGAAATGCAACCCATGGCATGCATCACCTTCACCTCTTTCTAAAATGTGGTGCTTAACCACAGTGCTGAGTATGTTACAAAAAGCATTTGTTAAAGGGGGGCCTTTGGTGCAAGACTTGAATTTCTGCTTTCAAGATTTCAGTGAATTTCAGAAATTTCAGTGAAATTTCAGGTGGTCATTCCAGGCAGCACAGTACAGGAGCCCTTTGCAGCAGAGCCCTGCTGTACTGAAATGAGACACAAGCTCCCTGGGAAACAGCGTGACATTGTCCTCTGCTGAGCACAATTAGCAATGGCCACAAGTTTTAGATTATATCAACAGTTCTACAAAGTGACAGACAACTCTGCTGCCTCCTGAGCTCTCTGTGTACACAAAGAGAAGATGGCATGAAGGGGAAAATGTTCTTTTAGTGAACAGATGAAACCTCTTCTTTTCTCCCACTAACAGTATGGGTGACCAATTGTCCCAGATTTCTCCCAATGCAAGTCACTCTCTCATTTATGAGGTCATTAGTGCTATGGATACTACTGCCAAATACTCACTCTACAGAGTGGATTTTACATCATATGTAACAGGAGTTTAAAAATATTTAAAAGCACACCTCAATAAAACCCTCAACCTCCCCTTAACATTGCAAACAGTTCCCTAATATCACTTTGATGCACCATGCATGTTTGCAAATCAGACAATTACTTAATTTCTGTGACAGAATTAGGTGAGTAGGTGAACTACTACATTTTTTACTCACAGCACAACAGCCTGGCAATAGTAATTGAGATCACAAAAGAAAATGAACCACATTGCATTCATGGCAGAGAAAAATACAGATTGCATATTTTATCTGCATTCAAATGCTATTTCTGCCTTGTAAATACAACTTCCTGCTCTGATCCTGTATTCATGACTTGATAAATATGGAAAAGAATAGCAAGAGGTTAGGCGAAAGAAAATTATTTCAAGTTTTTGGTACAAGGCATAAAATTTAATGATTGGACAATCATGATCTGGAATTATGTAATGAAAATTACAAACCTGTGAGTAAAGCTGCAGAAGTACTTCAGTCAACAATACCTTGCAGAAACATTGCAAGGCAAACACAGAGCCACTATTAAATTCTACAGTACGAAGAATTTCCAGTTACATCCCTGCTGTGAAACTCACTTGGGAACAAAAGGGATCATTGTTAAATAATAATCTGAACATGACTGTGTTGTAATATGACAACAGGCCATTAGATCTTGTTTTGTTTTTTGAGGAGATTTAGACAAGTGCCCAAGCTGCCAGGTAAGTTACTCTTCAGAATATCTACTGAAGCCAAACATTAATAGTACCACTAACAGGTCCTGGTAACACTGAACCTGCAGATGCATCACTGCTGAACACTTTTCACGTGCTATGTTCAAAAATATATTCTTACATTACTCTCGTATTTCTACAGGTCTTTTTTCCTGCTGGCTGAAACTCATTATTGTAATATAAGCCTCATAACATTGAAAGTATTAATATTCATGCAAACTTGTTCACAGTGGGAAAGCAGTGACTCAGACCCCTAATTTCTCTTACACGTTCTACCAACAATCTCCTAAGAAATTGTGTCAAATACTGTGACTTTATACAAACAGCTCCAGTTAAAATTTCAAGAAAGCACACCAAGTACCTTTTCAAAAAATCTTATTTTTATTTTTTGCAGTAACTGTATCATCATTAACAGCTTTCATCTCTAATAAACTGAAGCAAGTCAGTACACACAAAAATCTATGCAAGGTCAAGCAGATCCTAAATTGTAGAACAAGTTACAGAAATGCAGTACACATCTAGGTGTGTAACAACCTAAGGGTAGTTAGTTCACCCTAACACTTTAAGCACAGTCACTCAAGTTTTGTGAATTTTTCAGAGCTGTTAAAATGTTTCATATTTTCTTTAAAAAGGAAACAGCTAAAAGATTTATAGAAATTACTGATTTTTAACCAAAATTCTTATGTCTAAATCATTACAATGCAGTGAGGACCCTTCTTCAGCTGTAATACCACTGCTCTGCAAAACAAAACAAAAAAAAAAAGAAAATTAGTCACTTTGCTGTATTAGGCATAAATTATCATTAGCAGCCTAAACACTTGCCAGCTCACACTGCATATATTCCCATTTCTTTCAAGTTTGCCAAGTCCACTTATCAGCTCCTGGCTTTCTCTCTGAGCTGGAACAGAAGTGGATATAAAACCAATCACTTCTGCAATAAAGGGCTTTGCCTTTTTAAATGCTGGCTGAAAACCTGAGACTTACCAAACAAGAGCCTGCATGTGATCCCCTATTGCTCTACAGTAACAGACTCACAAACCAAGACAGTCCACTTGGGTTTTCTGCAAGGGATTTATGAACTAATTTTTTAGATTAAAATATTTCATTATTAATCAGCAGTTTTGATGAATAAGCTTTATTCCCTCAGTCTCTGAATGCAGTTTGTTCTAACTGATGCATTTGGCTGGATCTGATGCATTTGTTATTTATTGTACTTTCCTGGTGTAAATCCAGAAGGCAGCACAAGAGGAAAGGAGTGACAGAAGGCAAAAACTAGCCCAATTCAGTTAGAACTGAAGAACCATAGGATTAACAACAGATAGGGCAAACATCTCAGTATGTACTGAAGACCTCCCAGGAGGCTGTACAGGAGTCCTGAACTAATATGGATCACTGGAAATTTAAGCTGCCCAGCCCCTCAAAAGCCTTGTCGTGTTAGATTTTAGCAAGAAAACTTAGCACCTCCCTGTCCACATCCTGGAGACCCCCAAAATAAAAAAAATTATAGAACAGAATTACTCTTAGGTATATTCTGCTGTGCTTCCAGATTAGTTTTACCTGAAGCAAATCCTTAACCCCTAAGGATGCCAATGATGTAGGAGCAGACACCATGCAGAGATTCCCAGCAGTGTTCCCGTGCCAGTTTCATTGCTTCTGTTTCATTTTCAGACCCTTGACCACGTTGGGTTGGGTCAGAGTTTTGCCCCTCTTCTCTCAGAGGAATGGCAGCTTTCTGGACTGATTTTTCCTGGTTTGCTAGATCTTCTGCCTCCATACCAGCAGCTATTTGCCTCATGAGAGCCTCTGGGGGAGCCTTTTGGCACATGGTGGTCTTCAGCACTTCCATGGATTCGCAAGCGTGCGAGACCTTTCTGAGCTCTGCAGCGATCTGATTCCAGTAAATCTTTGGGTTATTTCTGAAAGCACGACAGACTGATGGCTTGCCAGTGAATTCACACCAGTAGGACAAACCTTGGCTTTTGCATTCAATTCTAAGTTTCATATCCTCATCATCGCCACTTGTGGTTATTGTGCAAACATCTTTGGTTTTAGTTCGAAATTTGATTTCTTCACCATTGCTTCTCTTCTTTGGCTTCAGCTTCTGTGCCAGTCCTCCCATGCCACAGATGACAACTAATAAAAGGAGAGCAAAACTCTTCATGATGAGAGGAGTGAACCGAGATCCTTGAACAACACAATCCAAAGAAGTAAAAGCAGTGAGTAAATGGCTGCTCACAATTTAAAGTCTTGGGGCACAAAGAAGCTTCTATCCAGCTAAACACGGGATGTAAGGGTTGGGCATTTTTATGAAAATAGTAAATCACACTTCAATAGGCAAATGCCCATAATTTATGGCCTGAGGGAGTGTCAAATTATCTTGGGAGTGTGAAGTCCCAAGAAGATAACAAGACAAGTCTTGTAAATGCAGTTAAAATACAGAACAACAGTTGTATAACGGAGAAGCACATTCCTATCCAGGATGAACATGTCATATTTGATCTTTAACACATATTTTCCATTCTCCAGCTGCTTTATAGCTCTATCTTCATGCTAGAGCTTGTAAGATGATATCTAAGTAAAAAAAGATAGAAGTACCAAAGCAATCTCTGCATCTGGATGATTATAAATGTCCTGGTAGTGTAAGTGTCCTGATAAAAAGCTGATTAATGGAATGGGCTTTCTGTGGATTTTCACAGTAAGGATGCAACTTTAGCTCTTCCTTTTTTCCACACATGACATGCACTGGGGATGCATGGAAGGATCAACTGTACATTCTTTGAGCCATGTATGTACCCAAGAAAAGAAATAAAGCTTAAGCAAAATAAGGTATTACAGGTCCAAAAACATACCAAACATCTCGAAGTTTTATCATCATTTTCACATCACCAGTCACTTTCAGCCAACAGAGCAAGACAGCAGAACTAACTTATCACAATTCTCAGCAGCAGGTAACAGACCACAGAGCATGTCAGACAGGTATTTGCAATTCACCACTTTCTTTTTTAAATAGATATTTTCCTGTTTGTATCAAGTGAGCTGTAAAAATGCCATAAAACAAAGGCAGGAGAACAGAAATATTGTAGTGCTGAATCCGGTCCTAGCAGTTTCTGCTACACTAACTAAAAACAGAGCTAAGGAAAAAACACCCTAACTTCCTTAGCATTCAGAAGGACATGAGGATAAATCCCTCCCCTGCTGTGGCAATCCACAGCACTTTTCTGGGTAGTGAGACCCCCACTAGCCACTTCTTCCAAAGACATCTCTGCTACAGCCAGCCTGACCTGAGCAGCTCCTGGAAAGGGCTATTGGATTGTTTAGGTATGCTGCAGTAACTGTGGGGTGATGGAAACCCTGGGTTTAAGACTGGCCATACATAATGGAACAGAACAGCAGTTTGTGTACTTAGTCACTCACTAGGTAGTGCTAAACAAAATACTAAGGCAAAACCATTCCTTTTAACACAGATGGCAAAGCAGAACATCATCAACAGCAACATAAGCTTCATTAATAGAAGAGGGACAAGAGTCCCTTGCTGCTGTGGCAGCCCAGATAACCTGAAAGCTGCCTGCTTGAAGAAGCAGCCACCTGAACAGCCATTCTGGGTATCCTAACCTTGTTCTTCCAGTGTGCCATCAGGTTCCCATGACTAAATACCATTTGACAGAGAGAACAACCTTGTCCTCTTTTCATTTGCTCTCCACGGATATTTTAGTAACATTTTTAGCAGAAACCTCACCTCTAGCTTCTTTCCATTAGTTCCTCCTCTCTCTTTCTAGGCACAGTGGTGTGGCTCCAGCTAAGTCTTAGGACAATAATGGCATAAGCCTACTTAAGACTTACCATTCACTCTTCCATTGTTCTCTGGGGAGTCTTCTCACCCTACAGCCAGCCAGAAGAATCTTGTTGCCCACCTCAAATCCCTACTGCAAGCACTTGAATACCTCCTAATATTTGACAAAAAAATGTATTGTTCACACTTTGTTATGCACAACAGCACCGAGAATTTTTATATTTGCTGATGAGTCCAAAGCAATTCAAAAGTTAATTTATACCAGTTTCAGATCTCTTGTTCTCAAAGTTTTTCAAGTGTAATAATGAAAACAAATAAACCACAAGGATAAGGAGAAATATCAAAGCTTGGACTCAAATATATTTATGTGTTCCAGCTGCTATGTTCCCACCAAGTGTTCGGCTCATTCTAATCTGACATTTCACTCCTGTCTGCCTGTGCTTCAGATTAAACAGTTTGTGGTCTCTTGTATCAGTAGAAAATAATTGTCCTTTTACAAGGTAAGCTAGGATGCCAGCAGTGAACTGTGGGAGCTGAAGAACTAGCAAATATTTAATTCTGCTGCCAGTGCCATACAGAAACAGGTACCCTGCACAACTCATAGCTTGAATCCTACCATCTTTGCATAGTTCACATTCGTGGTGGAAGCTGGAAGCTCCCACACCCAGAGTCAAAGTCCTTTCAGTCCTCCCTGCTGCAAAAGTAAAAGTCAGATGTAGCAAAGATTTTTAATCAGGGTAAAGAAATTCACTCTGTGCAGCTCTTCTGAGAGATGTCTCTGCAACAAAACAAGGGAGAACCAAACATAAGGTAGTTAAGCAAGATCTTTTTTATTTAAATGAACTGGGAATATTTTCTCAAATTAAAAATAGAAACTTTTAAAAATCTGCAATTCTGAACATTACATATACACATATGCTACATACTGTCAATTAGAAATGTTTCCATTTATGACAAAAATGAAAAATTTAAGGTTATTCCGGATTAGAGACTGGTATCATTTTTCAGCATTTCTTTAAAATTATAATAATGATGTACAGGATTATCACTACTTCAAGACAATGAACCCTGTTTGAAACTAAGTTAACAATACTGATAGATGAAGAGATACTATTTTAGATTGAAATATTGACTACTTCACCTGCCAGAAGGTTTTACACTGGTAACAGTTTTGGCCTTGTTGATAAAGTCTACTGTTAACTAATTCAGCAATTCAACCATATGCCTAAATTCAGTGAAATAACTCTAACAGTACAAATGTTAACTCCAATTGCTAAACAGATTTGAATTTCAATGTTGTAAATCACAGCATAGTATTATTTAGCAAAAATACTACCACTGCCTCCAAAAGAGCCACAGTGATACTATTAAGGACATTACAGAAGTGGGTGTGAAAGAAGAAAAGGAAGATAGACAATGTAAAGCATTCCAAAAATTGCCAACATAGGACATCCCTCATGCTCTTTTTGAGTACTACTGAACTCTAGAAAGCTTAGCTTTTTCACTATATTATGCATCCCACACACCCCCAAACCTCCCACCCAAAGTTTAAAAACAAACTTCTCCAAAAAGTCCCTTTCAGGTCTATACAGCAAAACCCACTAAATATTAAATAATTAAGAAAAAAAAAAAGAAAAGAGAGAGAAAACAAAACTGACAAAACTGCAACTGAGCTTTTCAGACACACAAAGAGACACTGTGGACCCCATTACAATCCAAATTTAGTCCAATGTAGTCATTCAAGAGCACCAAATAGCAACACTGATCATGCTGGTAAATTCATTTGTGAAGAGTATTATACAATATTAAAATCTTAACTAAACACTTAGAAGTTTTAAGAAAAATGTATATACAAAAGTCTCTGGTATACAAAATGTATTTTTATGTAAACGTGTATGTACTGTATTTAACACAAATCAACAATTTAAGATAAGAACTTGAACAATTTTAAGAGAATTGCTAGGCAAAGGCTGTTAATCTAATTAATTTATATACTGTGATGTAAGGTAGAAAGCCCAGTGTAAAAAAGTAAAAAACCAAAAAAACGTTTTAATCCAAGCCTTGAACAGTGGTATTTGAGAGGCAGTGCCCTGATCACAAAATAGTCTGTACAGTAGTTTATGGCATAACATTCAATAGTACATTTGGGATTTACAGTACAGCTGACATAAAACAAGTGGCTCAGGATCTGTCAGATGAATGGAAACACCAACACCCTTGGAAGAACAATGATGTACTACTCCCATAGAAGAGTCTTGAGCCTCATTTATATAGCCTGGAAATAATAACAAAAAACAATTCAGGAAAAAATTTATAAAGATTGAATTTCTATCAAATTTAAACACAATGAAGGGATAGATTTTAATACAAACATCAATATGACTGAATAACTTTTCTTGGTTTTAGACCTCACAGCATACTCCTGTTGCAGCAATCAGAGCAGCCTTCCTAAAATAGTAAAGTAGTACTAGGTCTAGAATTGATTTAAGTTTATTACTTACCCCTCAACATTTCCAGTATGTGTTACCACTGTTCCACAGAGCTACATGAGAAAAAGAAGAAAAAAAACCATAAAATAAACCCATTATTTTGTTTTGTCCACAAACGCAACAGAAATACTGTGTCTAACTTAGGTGAGACCAGCTCAGTTGGCCTAAGATAGTCTCAATGTTTTACTCATTTAATCAAGTATTTTTCAAACAAGAGGAAATAGATTCATGGTTTTCTCCACCAACCTTCCAGGTTATTTTTGTTTCATTGTAGAAATAAATACTTGGATTGCCTATTCAACACCCCTCTTTTGTGAATTTAATCCAGCCCCACATTTTGCTCTCACAAAAATGGTGGCCGCATTTGAGGTTATTTGTGTCTTTGACATGTGTATAAAAATACCTGTGTGAGACACATATACCTCATGTAGCTCTTACTTGTACTTAGATATCTTACTGTTATAAAAATATTCGCATCTCTTTTCAGCAAAATTTTACATCTCTTTTTCAGCTGATTTTGAAGGATCAAAAAGCCCAAGCCCAACCCTATGGCATTCCTTAAACCTGCCAAAGTATAGGTGTACAGAGATCTAATCAAAGTAATGTCTTTCAAACTATATCCAAAAATAATTTGTAGGAAATGAGAAAAATCAAGGATAGCATAAAAGCAAAGAGTACGCTCAAATTTGATTTTATTCATATGGGAATGCCACGCTGAGAAATTCAAAGCATGTATGCCATAATTAGGAGTTTTTCAAATTACCTCAAATTAGCACATCAGAAGACAGCACTGCATCAAACTGAATCTTTAAATTTTAGCATTTTATCAAAATAAGTCAGGACTGAACTAGTGGATCTTTGTGTACAAGATTATTTTATGCTAGTAATTTTTAGGTTGTTCAGCAATGCTGAATTAAACTATTTATCAAGGACTGAAATATTGAAAGAAAACATGCTATGAACCTCAAGAATATTAAAAGTCATATTAAAGATTGAAAGATCAGAAAAGGAATTCTAAGGCCTGGGAAATTATTAATTTTCTCTTGTGTAAAATCCTCAAAGTCCTTAAAACTGAGAGTCCTTAGATATGCCAGTGGAGAGTTTTTTGGACTTAAACTCCTCATCAGTTAATCTGGGGAGTAAGAACCCTTAAGCTGCAGAACAGACCACAACAATTGTGATCATAAATCTCAATAAAAAATATCGTTATAGAGAGACTTCTTTCAGAAGGAGACATGAATGAAGATTTGGTCAGCAAGTAATTATTGTAAAATACACTCCTAAATAATAATAATAATAATAATAGCCATCCTCATTATCATCATCAGATGTAACCATGAACTCTGTCAAGACCCAAACTTCGAGCTCTCTCTATTCACCTGTTATTTAAAGCATAGTGGTATCTTCTCTATAAATACTCAACCTATACATTCAGTCATGAAGTTGCAAAGGCAGGCACAGTGAGCTACAGATTTCAATCATAAATTTAAACTGTTCTTAAGCAACTTGCAAATTTTGCAAAACCAAATAAGGAAGTTGTGG